ACAGTTCACGGTGGGCAGAAAGTAGCAAAGAAAGCAAGGGACCTTAGCAGCATCTTTCTGCCCCTTTTATATTCTATTAGGCTACAGGGATTAGGGTGGGTGCCAAACCAATCGGTGGACTGATTTAGTAATCACCCACCCTTAATCCTAGCATTGCACTATGAATTAATCACACACTCTGGATTCAGCTATCTCTGAAAAACCCCTAACCTATGACCACATGAGACTTTGGGGGGACACCTATTTTTTGTTTTTTTGAGACAGGGTCTTGCTATGGAGTACAGACTGATCTTGAACTCACTATGTAGCCTAGGCTGGCCTTGAACTCACAGTGATCCTTCTGCCTCAGCCTCCGGAATGCTGGGATTATAGGTGTGTGCCACTATGCCCAGCTTGTGGGGGACATCTAAACACAAGCCATAAGAGGCATCAACTGAATGCTATGCAGGCCTGAGGTGGGGATAGGAGATCCAAGCTAAGAGTCCAAGATCTGAAAGGCCTTATGGGTTTCTGCATGGATGTCACTGCTGCTTTCTAAGTGAATAGTACCTGCCTGGAGTTGTAACCTGGTACAACTGTTTTGGAAATGGTTTGAAAGCACCCACTAAAGGTAAACCAATAGGATCCTGCCACCCTCCTGGGTATGTGGCCACTGGAAATGAGTGTCTGTGTTCACTAACAGATTTGTACAAGAATGTCAGTAGCAGCTTTATTTATCACAGCTGAACACCATAAACTGCCCAAATGTCAACAAAAGAATGAATAAGCTGGGTGTCCATTCACATAATGGAATATGCACAACAAAAGAGAACTACCCCTTCGCTCCAGCAACATGAGTAGACTGTGCTGTCGCAAAGCTGGCAAAAGAGGACAGACCCAGAATAACACACAGGGTGCCCATTATAGGCAAAATGAGTCTGTGGAGGTAAAGGTCAGACTAGTGTCTCCTTTGGAATGAGCACTGACTAGGGATGGGTTCTGGAATGTTCCATATCTTAGCCTGGTGGTGTATACATGGGCATATACATACATAATAGTTCATCACATTGTGCATTTGACATAGGTAAAATTCACTGTTTTTAAACAACACTGTAAACAGAAGTTTAAAAACTATTTTAATTATATGGGTTCTCCTCTGGATAACTTCTTTAGACCTCTGGGCAGACCTGGGAAGAGTGTGATTAGTGGAATTAAGAAGAGATGATTCCACATCTAACAAAAGAAGTCAAAGATCTCTTTAATGAAAACTACAGTACTCTGAAAAAAGAGATCGAAGAAGATTTCAATAAATGGAAAAACATTCCTTGCTCATGGATAGGAAGAACCAACATTGTGAAAATGACCATACTCCCAAAGCTGCTGTACAGATT